CCTTGTTGAATATTAGTTGGATCGAACTTTATGAATTAATTAAATTAATTTAAAGAAATTTCCGTAAATGGCACTGAAACACATTTTATAAAAAAAGAAAGATCAAAACAAAATTATAATAAAGAAACGAGCTGTCAAATTAAGAAAGCTTTTGAGCAAAGATGTGGAACTGAAACAAAGCTTAGTCCAGAAACAACCCATAACTTCCACATGAATTCGCCTTGAGGCGGGATTTCCATTGGTGCATTGCAGTGGGATTAGTTAACGAGCTTCGATCACGGTCGTTGAACTCTAACGTAGTTACAGCTGATACCGTTGATCGTTAACGATATAAAACTGCGTGCATCAGAAAGAAGAGCTCTCTTGGTTTTTGATTTTCTTGGACACAGTGCGGTGAAGTGTCGAACAACAAATTTTTTTTTAAAAAAAAAAAAAAGGCTCGGAAGTGTGGCTTATTTCTTCTTTGTGTTGAATAAAAGTAAAAAAGTGAAACATTTATAAACCTATTAGTATGATACATAGTTAAATTTAAATAAAGAAGTTTGAATCTTAGAAATTTTAATTAAAATAATAAAATCGCTCGTGATTGATTTTGAACACAACGTATGGTACCCGCGACACGGCGCGAAGCGGTAAAAATATTTGTGGTGGACTTAACAATATAAATCGAAAAATTTATTTGAGTTACTTTGAAAAATTTTAAAGAACAACAGTACAAAAAGAAATAATCGACGGCTTTAACAGTGGTCGATTATAAGAGTCTGTACAAGTACAAGTTCTTTACGAATTTCGTATATCCTAACGAAAGTGTTGACACCGCAGGCAACGGGCGCGGCGCGGCTTGGGTGTCCTCTCGACATGCTGATGAACACAAGGAGGTAATTGAAATCTTAAGTGCTGCTGGATTTTTTTTCTTTTCACCCTGAATTGGATGTTACATCATTACGAAGCTGAAATGTTAAGGTAATGTTCGATCTATTGAATAGTTCTTTTGCTGAAATAATATGCGTATAAAAATTGTCAAATAGAAAAACATAAGAAAAAAAATTAATGTACAATTAAATGTAATTTAATTTTGTTTTAATATTATTTTAAAATTCATAATTGTTTTGAAATTTAATTATTTATTTATTTCATATAATTAAAATAGTGTTATACAATTTTCGATCTATTGAATAGTTCTTTTG